CTCAACGAGACATATTTCGTCTCTCGCGACAACAGTTTGCGACGTAGCACACACACGCGCGCGCGCGATATCGTGATTTAAAATTCTGACGCAGGATTTTCAATTTGTGGGAAGAAACAAATAAGGATATTTTTTTCTCGCGTTTTGCAAATTGTGGACGTCGCGCAAGTTTGTTTCATTAAGTGGAGGAAGATAATTTATATGTGAAATGGAAGAGCAAAAATGGAAATTAAGGAGAAAGAACGACGCGTGAATTGTCCGAGGAATCAGATTTCTTTATTAACATTGCACATTCTTAAATACATTTGGTCTTGGTCGAGGAACATTATTGGTGGGAATTTTATTTCATTAGATCTCTTAGAAAAAAAAAGGGCCGCTTAGAGCTACAAAGGTTCTCTATCGTCTAACGCGTATCTCTAGGTACAAAACAAACAATCTATTTACAAAAGGTACTTGACGGCAGTGCTAACAATGCAAAATACAGTCTTCAAAAAAGGTTTCCCCTTTCTCGTGCGCCCTCCTCGCTTCCTTCTTCTTCCCCCTCGAGATTGCCGTGAAGAGGAAAATTATCTTTCTTCGTGCCTAGAGGAGGCACCAAAGAGATCATTGTACAACAGGTAGATCGTGATCGCAGTTTGTCTTTTTTTTTTCTTTTTTTTTTTTTAACCCATGCAGTTATCGCTCGATTATCGATTTACGTGTGTGATTAATCGGTTACGGTTCGAGCCGATCGCGTTAAACGCAGACGATGTTGCACACACTAGTGATCGCTCCGATTGCAATTCTTTGAAAAAAAAAAAACTGTTTTTAACTCTTTAAAATGTAACTATAATAAATTCGGCTCCTTTCTGTAAGGAGCAGTCGGATGTTATTTAAATCAACGCGGAGAAAATTTCACGCTGTTTGAAGTATCGCGAAGTAACGACACCATTGCCACAATCGAACCGCGCGGATCGGTCCTAGTAATAAGAGCCGGTTTATTCTGTCGCAACAACCTCAATTTCCCGCTTTCAAGCTCGAGCGCGCGCTCGGGGACTTCGTCCTTGGCCTTGGAACTGCATCAAGCCGCGACGGAAGACAAATCGTGCTGATAGAAAGACGAAGCGGCGCGGGGCCCGTGTGGATGAAGACGTTGCGCGTCGACTGATTAGCGTTTGCGTGTATTGTTGTATCGCGCACATACACGGAGCGATGGGATACGCGGTTCGAGAAGGGAGGTGGCCCACACATGCTGAGTCCGGTTCGCCATTAGTCGTACCCAGCCCTCCTCGCGCTTTGATATTACTTAAGGTATTTCCTTCTTTCTCGCGTCGACATCTTTCTTTCCCCCCTTTCTCCCTTCTCGCGCCGCGTCTTCATTCGTTCGCGTCGTTTTTTTTTTGTCTTGCGTTTCGCGCGAGCGCGCGGTGAATGGGTCGGTGAATAATTAGCCCACCTCTCATATATTCCCCCTTGTCTTCCTACCTCGTCGTGGTTCGATCGACCGCGCGAAATCGAATGAACCTCTATATCGTCTTAATTGAGGAAGCCGCGGCGGAAAATACATTCGCGCGATGGAATCATCGCGGGACACCCGTTGTTCATAACGAAATTAATTGGCGCCCGTTCGTTGTCCTGTCGTTAATTACGCGTGATTTATCCGCGACGGTAGCGTCGTCAATTGAATGATAATGTCCCGCGAGAGGTACCGCGTAACTCCCTCTTTTCCCTTCCCTCTCTTCCTCGTGGCAGTGGTTTCCTTTCGAAGACGCGCGAAGACGCGAAATCGTGGGCAATTTAATCCCGCGATTTGATTACCGAGCAGGTGGATGAGCGCGACGACTTAGCGTCTTCTTTTATGATACTGCCATTACAACGCGGAGCGTAGTGTAATAATAGGATGCGGAATGTAGCAACTGTGTAAACTGTATTGATATTGCAGCGGCGCTGGATTCTCTTGTTGCTGTTATTATTCAATATACGCGTCATTTTGCAAAATTACATGCAAAGATCGCGAGAGTCGCGAAGTTTCTCTTGTCGTTTTTGCGATGTGAAAAATAATTCATCTTCTCCGCACCTCTTCGCGTGGTTGGGATAAAAATTGCGTCGAAGAATGCATTGATAATTGCTCGGAATATCATTAAGCTCGGTCGATTCTTTGTTTGTCGCTTTTACACTTCTGATCCTTATTTATACGCGCGAGCTTTTGTGCGAACGGAGTTTATATATCTCGAACGAACGATCTCGCGCCGCTTATCATCGCGAATAATCATCGCGCTTTATTTCGAGGCGCGCGTAACTAATATGCGACTCTAAACGGCGGCTGCCATAATGACCGCAGTTACAGAAGAGAGAATGAGCTTCTATATCTTGCGCGTCTCTTCTCTCTTCCCTTCTCTCTCTCTCTCTTTCTCTTTCTCGCGGTTCCGATCGATATAAATTACCGCTGCTCCTCTCTCGCAAAGATCAGATTCTCATCTTCAACAGATGGAGAGGATTAGCGATATTAGCGAGAGAAATCGGCTTCGCGCAGTGGCGCTATCATCAGAGCTCCCCGGCTTACTTCTTCTCTTGTGTTTTCGTCCTTCCAACGCAAGTGTCTCCCCCGCGGGACGGAGAGGAAAGAGCTTTCTCATATATCGGGGATGTAAAAGAAAAACCGTATCTCCGCTTTTCTCCTCTTCGTACACCTTCGTCCGCTCTCTCTTTCTCTCTCTCTTGTCTCTTCTACGATGTCTCTGTCTCTCTTTCTCTCTTTCCCCGTCGCGTCTTCTCACGTCTCTGGCCGGTACCATCTATCATTCTGTCAGCTAGGAGATTTCAATTTGCTCTCTTTTTGCGCCATTACCGGGCCCCGCAGCCCGCGCAAAATTGTATTTAATTGTGATTGACTGCTAAGTGGAGGTGGCCGGCCGCCGCCATTTGTCCCGCGATTTTTGCATATCTCTAATTGCGCGAGAGGTGCGTCGCGAGCCGGAATCGTGGCCCGAATGGGATTATTCCAGTCGCGCGTTTTCTTTTTTTTTTTCTTTTTTTATCTCGCGTTCTCTCGCCAACGGAAAATGTCTTGTCTTCTCCCCTTCCGACACAGTCGATTACTCGCGATAACTAATCGTTATCGTAATTGTTGTTATTGCTTGGTAACAATTACTGATTGTTGGCAATGGTTGATTACTCGCGATTTGTCGACACTTGTAATTACTATATTAATTGACGACGGCAAGAGACGTAAACAGCATCTCGACGTCATCATAGCTGGTGATAAATTGAACCCTATCTCGTTTCGCATCTTTGCGATCGAGTCTCTCGCGACATGTTGCGCGAGGCACGAAGTGTCTGCGTTTAAAGCGATCGAATCGCAATTTTCTTTGAATTTAATTCGTAATAACATACAATCGTCATTTTGCTAATTGCCATTGAGCAGTAGTTACATTCGCAATAGAAAATATTCAGGTAACACGAGGCGAACTTAACGCTAAAGAATCTATCGAAATTCGAAGTAAAAAGTCGCAGGAGAGTTTGTTTATCCCTAAAAGAATAAAAGTGTAAATTATTCAAATCGTGATTTGTTTTCTTTGTTCTGATCTTTCAAGAATTTCTAATTATATCTTATTGCAAAAACATGATTTTTTCTAGTAGTTAACGTGTATTTTTTCTGATTATTTGTTCGATCACTACTTTTAGGGACGAACGTTTCGATCGATAATTATCATCGACTCCAGGCGTCGATGAATGACCACGCTGCGTTCGCGGCGCGTACACGCGAGAGCAGAGGGAGGGGGGAATGAAGGATCTCCGTCTGCCCCCGCAGTATGGACGCGCTTGCACGTACCGCACATTTATGTACACAGAATCACCTATACAGCCTCGCAATAAGTTAGACGCGCCTTGAATCAGATATTTACACGGTGCCTCTCGCACTCGGACGACAATGTACGACGGTGCCTATTTACAATTAAACTCGAGGCGACTACGCCCCCGCTCTGTTCTAGCTCGGTGTACAACGACGATAGCGAGGGGGCCGCTCGCGGTATTACAATCAACGATCACATTTTATGCGCCCTGACCTACCCACTTTGCCTTGTAGTGTGTGGTATCGGGTTTTAGCGACATCTCCGTTCTTATCTCGCGATTATTCAGAAACATTTCGCGCTTGAGAGAACGAAAAAACAAAACGAAAAAAAAACACATCCGATGTTTATCGCGATATTTATCGGTGACTCATCCCGATATCGATGAGACTCGTTAACACAGAATATTCTAATCGCGGACCTCGCGATCCTCGCGAGCGTCGCCTCAGCTTCTGGAAGGATCCGTTCGATCTCGCGCTTCTTTTCTTCGTTTCGAATCGCGCGCGCGGTTCGGATCGGAAAAAAAAAAAAAAAACGTCACGGAATCCCGCAGCGATGCGCCGCGATGGCGGGATAAGGTATCGGCGATGAATTACCGCGCGGCGCGCGCTAAAGTTACGCGCTCGATTAAGTCCGACGCGCGCAATTAAAAGCGTCTTTTTATCTGTCGGCTCGGTAATCGGATAGTTTTGACGTGAGCTATCGCCGGCGCTTGTATCGGTGACGTTCCAAGATGATTCACTTATGTACATTATTTGCAACACAAAGTCAGTAAGGCGCTACATTGGCGCAACAAAAGTTGAGAATTAATAGAAATAATTTAATTATCGGTTGCTCTCTGTGTGCGCATATAAAAAAAAAAGTTTAATTGGCGAATCTATCGAATCTTTTATATCGCGAAAAAAAGTTACTCCTTAAAACAATGTCATATAATGATATAAATATGTTATATAATGATATAAGTGATGACGTTTACATAATGATATAAATTATTGATGTTTTTCATTTTGTGACACACGTACTCGATATTGAATTTTAAATTAACACGGTATAAATAGCGTAGTTCAGCAAGTAATACAAAACAAAACATATATCGAGTTTTTCTTTATATTTTGTTAAGACGAACGATTCGAACTCGTAATGAAGAAGATCTTGGCCGATAGCGATGCCGGTGTGTGTTTTCTGCTTACATCGTACACCCGTTTACGATCGATACCACGATGGCCGAGTGACTTGTTTACAAGTTAATGAGAAGTCTGGATTCCCAACTTGCTCGTTAATTCCTACTCCTCGCGAGCGAGCCGTCTCATTCCCGGGGTACGCCCGACAATTCGTCATTACCTGTAGAAGTCTGTCGAGGGAAGGACGCATCGTCGTCCTCTTCGTCGAAGAACCGATCCGTCATCGATTTGCATCTTCCGACGAGAAGGAAACTCCCAAGACGAATATTCAACGTTTCTCTCTCGAAAGCCCGTCAGAACGACTTCAGTTCGTCTAGTACACAGCCTCGAGATTCGAGAATCTTAGGAAGGCGACTTCTCGTGTTCATCAGAGACTCGCCTTTGATTTTTTTTGTTTTTGTTTTGTTTTTGTTAATGTTCCGTAATCTTCGAGAATTCCGGATCGTCGCGGTGAACACACACGCGAAACATCAGGCGACGACATCGCTCGTTCTCCTTTTCGTAAGAGAATACGATCTCTCTCGTGATGTGTTTTCATTCGCGTTGCAGCAGTTCGTAGAGCGCGGCGATGTAGGTCTGCGCCATTTGCAGCGTCTCGAACTTGCTGAGCTTTCTGTCATTGCCCAGACTGGGCACAACGTCCCGTAGCCGGTCGAAGGCGTCGTTCAGACTGTTCATCCTTCTCCTCTCCCGGGCGTTCGCCGCCAAGCGCCTCTTCCTCAGCACCTCGATACCCGGCGTGCTGCTCTTCATCTTCTGTATCGCGGTCTCCTTGGATTTCTGTCCGGCGTAGTCAGCCGGCAGAACGTGATGACCGTCGTTCCTTGGATGATACCTCGACTGATCGCATTTGTTGGGCTGTCCGCCCGGCAGACCGATCTCGCTTCTCGGCACGCCGTAAGCGGTGCCCAAGTAAAGAACGTCCGTCCGCGGTGCGTAGGGATGACTGTCGTTCCGCTGATGATGATAGACGCCGCTCTTTGCGTAGGTCTTTGTTGTAGCAAAAACGACTTCTTGACTCGGACCGAAGTCAGTCCTGGAATTGGCGAACACTCCGGATGCAGGATGATGCTCCATCTTCTGCACATATCCAGCTGGATCCTGCTTGCTCACAGCGGCCTCGTTGAAGGTCATTCTGGACCCGGTGTCCTCGTAAGCCGTACACTGTTCGTTCATCCTGAAGATCACCTTGGCGTGATGCTCCTTGACGCTCCTGACGCCGTTGTCGTTCATCAAGGTTGTCGCCTGATGCTCGTTCCGGCCGATTTCTTGATAGTAGCCCTCGTAGAAATCGCCGAAGTTGAAACCAGCGGTCACGTGAAAGCTGCCATTGGGAACGCCGCCGATTTCCTGATACTCCTGCTGGTGGTGACTGTCCACGGAACTGACGCTGCCGCAGCTGCTGCCACGGGATCGCGGCGGCTGCGGATAGATCTCCTGGTGGTGCCAGTTGCCGCGCGGATTCGATTCCGGGCTGCTAGCCGATCCGTAGCCCTCGGAGTCCAGAAGATCGTACTGCTGGAAGCTCGTGTAGGAGGTCATCCTCGTGGCGCACGTGGTATGTAGATGATCGATCTTCGACTACCGGTGATCTTATATCATAACGTATCGAGAAAATCCTGGATCACGACAGGTGTCAACCAATTGTCATCGATTTGAAGAATTCCGCGACGGTTACGAACAATCGATCGATATCAGCGGCGAATAAACGCCAAGAACAACTCTTCTAGATCAGATTCGAAAATACAATATATGTGTTCGGGAACGGACACGTTCGTCGACTCTCCCGTTAGGATTACGTCTGAGTACTCTCCGCCGTGTGTGCTTCGTGTACGGAAGCGTTGCGTAAACTGGCTTTACTTGGCGGATCTCGTGGTCTGGACCATGCCGCCCGGTTTTCTTGGGGCCCGCTGGATAAGGAGAGGGGAGCAGCGAGACGGATCGACGGAGTCCCGGGGACCCACGTGGAAGGGGATCCCCGAAGGAGTGGAAGGGGTCCACTGGGAAGTGGGCATCTCTTTGTAGAAGCCGCGCGACCAGACACGCCCCTCGTCTTCCCTTCGTCTTCTCTTCGCTGGGGGCTCCTCTTTGGGGCCCCCGCGTTCGGAGTCAAAAGGCCGATCGGGTGAGAAAAAGAAAAGCGCCGCGATCAAGCGGCACGCACGGTCACGGGATCTGACCGGGCGCCGCGTTCTTGACATTGACGATACGGCAACCGCCGCCGCTCGGTGTACCGTCCAGTTACGGTTTTCACATATCCCCGCGCCTCTTCTTGCGCTAATTGGATTCTGTTTCTTTGTTTTGTTTTTTTGTGCGTGGTACCTCTCGCGCGGATCGGTGACGTTCCGAATCTTTTGCAGCAAGAGCAAGCGCGGCAATGTACTTTTACCAATTTTATAACATTGTATAATTTATTTATTTTACAAGCAATTATTTTTAATTAATTATTACTTATTATACTGAAAATGTCATAGGAAGCAAAGGATAGAACGAAAAAGATACGGAAAGTTTTCTCTCGCACGAAGTCAAATGACATTTTTAACTACTACTACGTAGTGTGTATGTGTATATATAATAAATATAATATCAGACACAGATGTTATATTAATGGATATGTTGCGCGCGCGCTATACACAGAATACAATGCGTTTCGCAAGACGGGAGCGAAAATCCTTGCGAAAATACTTGCGAAACTTTCCAGGTCGCCGATGTCAAACGTGAATCAGGGAAAGCGTTTGGCATGTCTGGCAAAAACCTATTAACACTCTCATGTGGAAATGATTTATAAATGATATTTGTAAAACTTTCTTGATATAGGTCTTCTCACATTGAATTATGTGTACGTATGTGTAAAAATAGGCGCAGCTAACTGACACTAATTGGTAGCGCAACCATCTCGCTACGAAGAAAAAAAGTATTGTGATGCGAACAAAGAAAGCCGTGCAAGAAATTAACGACCTGACTGGAATCAATAATTGACTAGCATTATTAACTGAATTATTTAAAAAAACAAAATTATACGCATATAAAAAATGCACTTTTTAAATTTTTAGATATATTTAACAAAACTGTTAATTTATCGCATAGAAACACAAATAATTGTACGGGCTGTTACTTAACAATATGTACAATATCTTACCGCGTCTTTGTGGAAATATTTGTAATATTGTCGTATGGTGTTTTCGAGATTGTCACTTTTGTTGAAAAATGTCTTTTTAGCGCGCGCGCACGGCGCACTTAAATTTACGCAAAAATCAAAAACAAGTTTACGACAAAAATCTGTTGTTACAGTATAACTACGCGACGTTTCGTTTAAGTACTTCGCGTAAATAATATATATAGTGTACAAAGTGGATACATAACGTTGTGACGTTGTTTTGACGGTGCCGACTCTCGGAATTATCGACAATTAGGCGACGTGGCGGCGGATTTTAACGCATTTAGGATCGCTAAATTAAATGAATCGTGCAAATGTTGCGTACCACACGTGTCGCGTACCGCGGATAACATCTTTATTGACGAATCTTATTTGGAACGTCTATTTTTGCGATATCGGTAAACAGTCTCGGTGGGGCTCGTGCCTGACATTTCGCTCAGAGAGAATCGCGCGATCGATCTCCGATCGTCATACACACACGATGACGAAGAATCGCACGACTTATGTAAAGTGTTGTTGCTACAGCTGCTTGCTACGCGGAAGTAAAATTTCTAAAAACTGAAATTGTGTTAAAAACTATTTTACACTTTAAAGAACTCGTTATATGTAACTTATAAAAAGATCATTTTTTGTAACAAAAGACTTTTTCTCTTCACAAACTCGGGAAACAGAATTCTCTTTCTCTTTCTTTGGGAAAAGACGGGTTAAGCTGCGCGGGCTCCCGTAGGCGTATCTCCATTTGTTTTCCATCGTTTGTCGGGAGAGTCGTTCGTTTCTTGCAAAAGGCGGCAGCTTCAAGAAGTTCATTATACTTCACTAATACGCACCAAATGAGCCGATCGCACTCGCCCATCCCACGGAGGGAAAGAAAGATCGCGTCCCGATGAATTCGAAAGGTTTACGCCCACTGGTGGATTTTAATTTACGGAAAAACGCTCGCGGCGACTCATACAATATAAACTAAATTTTTTGAGAAATTTTATTTTCAAACTTTGTCTGTAATTTGTAAATTGTACAGACCGATTGCAAAAATTGAAACGATCACGGAGAAACAAATCTATGAGAAAACTCATCAAGCACAATTTGAGATAACAAAAAAAAGATCGATCTGTGTCTTATTAGACTTTGTTAAATCACTCGGTTTTGATTAAATTACACCAAATGACGCGAATTGATAGATAGTCGGTTTTTTTTTTTTTTTTTTGCAAACGAAGAGAAGTGATAAGTGACACAAATTGATATATGAGACCGAAAATAAATCACGCCGTGTATTCCGTAACGTGTTAAAGTAATAACAACGTAAAGTCGCAACTACTTATTTTCACTTATTCACCGCCGCGCGCCGCGATGACTTTTAGCCGTCAGGTGAGGTCTCCGCAATCAAGTTGCCATTACGTAATTATATAACAAAGACTAATGAGTCTCGATGATTTCGCATCCAACAAACCCGCGCGTGATTGCGCCGAGAAGTAGGATCATCAATCGATCGGTCCATCGACACCATCTCGCGTGGTGGTTTGTGTCCGTCGAGATGCGATAACCGCGCGTCTCGCGTGAAGAAGGTGCACGACAAATGCACGCGCGCGTCACCCGATAATGTACTCGCAAGTGTGCGCGGAGAGTTCGTGATCTAGGGACCTATTTATAGACCTCTGTATCTCGTATCCGATCGATCCAGGATCGGATCGCGCGGAAGAGACGTCAGAAATCTGACGTTATCTTTTAATAAAACTATATCTCGCATATTTTATATCACTCATATAAATTACGTATTGCAGATGTCAGTTTATTTATTTCTTTTTTTAAATTTACTTTTTCCAAAAATCGAAATATTTGTTCGTTTTTCTTGTTTACGTCGTCTTACGGATCGTAGGATATTAATCTTTCCCTTCGCATCCGATCCTGCACCGATCTGCCGCTAATGCGGTGGCGGTGGCGGCGGCGGCGGTTAATAACAAATTTATTGCGGCCGATGAAGTGCATAAATTGATTATTACTAGCCGGCAACGCATCTCTCTACCCGCGAGAGAGTTCCAGTTCAGACAATCACCGATGATTTACAACGTAATGGCGCGCGTTTGACTGACGCGTACTCGCTCGCGCGACTCATTCGCGCGTACACGCGGCTTGATGCGTCTGCGGCGTCGGTTACATGCGTACGATATCTCGGCTGCGGCCGCGGCTACAGCGCCCGGGTCCGAGTTTTCTCGCGCGGGGATGCGGCTGGAACGTTGTCGTTTGCGCAAGAACACGCGCCGTGGCACGGCGACGTACAATTCGATCAGTAGTGATCTTCCCCCGAGAACGATGCGCCATAAAAGCGAATATCTACATGCGTCGTGAAGGGAAAGTTGCAAGTCGTGCGTAAAATCGTTACACAGTGTTCATTATACAACGCGATGTATACGTGGCGTATACACCTCAGGCCTCTTCCCGAGGAATCCGCGAGAAGTTTTTCTCGGTTCTTTTTTCAGCCTCTTTTCTTCAAGACCTCGCGCCAATGGTCTCTTGTGGAATCTCTTTTTCGATTTTTGCCGTTCATAAATTTCTACCCAATTAGTTTCTGTGTTGGTTGTGTTAATCGCTTTTCTCTTACACGTCCTTTACATTGACGCCACCACGTAACGGTATTTCACATTGTCTGCCGCGCGGTCGAAGATGGTTTGATTCTCTAAACGATCATCCACGTTCGATTCCTCAGGGTTCATCCAAATATGACCCTCGTACGAGCCGGAGATTTACGACCGGCCGAGACCCTTAATTAGAATCACACCCGAGGTGTCCTAATTACAGGTTATATAGACCGTGGCGCTTAGTACCCGGCTTCTCAAAGATCGAGGGCCTCTTAACGCGAAAGAACGGCGCGAATCGGTGCCAATTTCCGGCTGTTTACCGACAGCTCGTTAATTGCGGGGAAAACGACGGGTGGGCGGGCGGTGATTACAGTTCCTCGAATTTACATATCTAATTAACCGAAGCTTTTCCCAAAGAAAATACTTATCTTTTCTATTTTCTTTTTTATTGTTTCTTTTTTCTTATTAATTTCCTTACAGATTTCAAATAAAAAAATTTTGTGTTTATAAATCCACAATTTTGTTCCCTCATCGAGAAAGTCAATTTTTTTTAAATCGCCATCTCCCTCGCTAAGTAAATCTTTGTGGCGATTTTTCCAGTCTTGACACACACGGGAAGGACATTTTAGATCGATGTCCTGCAAAAGTATAATGATGATTTACACCGGCGTATCGACGCCACTTCCTGTCGCCTGTCCGTCCGTACATAATATACGATCGATTAAGCCGACGGAATTTTCTTTCTTTCAATCGCGTCGTGTCGACGTTACTGCTCGTGTGTGTGTGTGCGCGCGCGATCTACCTCACTCGTT